ATTAGTACACTCTTTTGCACATCATCATCACTGGCTGGGTCTTCAGACTCACTATTACATGGATGACTGGCTAATGCCCACTTCTTCCCGTGCCCAGTCAGCCACTCACTCCCACTTACTTTTTTGAGAAGTTGTTCGAGTGGGGTTTCTTATCAAGTTGGAGAAGTCCTTTACTACTCCCATGCAGTTTCTTATTCATTTGGGGTTCTCTTCAATTCCCATCTCAGTCATGACCAGCTTTCTCCACTTTGGCTCTGGGATTTGGAGTGGGCAGTAACATAGGCTTCTCCTTCCCTATTTGCATGGGAGGTTCTATCTCTTGTGGGGATGTGGGCTTCCATGGAAGCTCTCATTCCCTTGGGTTGGTTGCACATGCTTCCTTCAATGAATGCTTCTCAACCATGGAACTTGTCCCATGATCTCTTGGACCATACCATTTCCCTTACATGTGGAATCAGGACCGACCTTGCTTGGTGGCTCAACAGGGATTTGACCAAGGTGGGGTTCCCATTCCTCTGCATCTTCCCCAGTCTCATGTGTTCACAGATGTTTCCTTGATGGGTTGGGGCTTTCGTTGCTTCCCAAAAGATTTTGGGTCATTGGTAAATTGAGGAGGCTACTCTCCATTTCATCACCCTAGCACCTTTAGTAGCTCATCAGGCTCTGCTTCTGTGGGGGCAGGTGGTTATGATTCTTTCTGACAGTTCCACTCTTGTTAGCTATATCATCAAGCAAGGGCAAACCAAGTCCCACTCTTTGTGTTTTCAGACTCTGGATTTCACGTACTAGGTAACGACCACAACATGACTGTTCTGGCATGTCATGTTCCCAGAATTATGTACCTTGTGGCCAATCGCTTTTCTGTCTTAACAAGGTTCTCCCCACAGAGCGGTCCTTTCATCCTCAGGTATTTCAGTAGGTGCGTTTTCCACTGGGAACACTGCATATAGATACATTTGCTACTCACTGGAATGCCAAACTTTCTTCCTTATGGTCTCTAGTTCCTCACCCCTCAGCTCTGGGGGTGGATGCTTTCAGTCAAGATTGGACAGGTCTTCACCTATATGTCTACCCTCCAATCAGACTCCTCTCTAGAGTCATTTCCCTTATCCAGCCTGCTCGTTGTTGTGTTTTGCTGGTTGCTCCATTATCTTTGGCTCAGACATGGTTCCCTCTGATCTGGTCCTTACAGGAGCAACAGCTCCTGCCCTAATCTCTGTCTTGATTGCTCCTCTGTCAACTGCAATTGGATGTATTTCATCCCAACATCACCAAATTCCATCTTCACGCTTGGCTTTGTCCAGTCCCTTGCCTCAGCTCAGGGATTCACCCCTCGTGTAACATCTTTCACTGCCCATACCATTCGCCTTTCCTCCTTGTCTATGTCCCAGAAGCTTTGGTCTTACTTCAGACTTTGGTCTATTTGCCATGGCTTCTGACCATCTCTTTCTTCTGTTCCTCACCTGTCCCAGTTCTTCATCTGGTTGTTTGATCAGGGTTTGTTCGTTTCAACTGTTGCTCATTATAGGGCTGTCCTCCGACAGAACAATGAGATGAGGTGGACAGACCAGATGAAAGGAGGGAAATAACTGGGGAGGAGAAGGCTTTCCAGAAGTGGGAGAATGGAAGGTGTTTCACTGACAGCATGCCAGGAGAAGGACGAAATAGGTCTGAAGGGAAAGATGGTACAAGAAACACACTGCAATGGGTTCAAAGTGAGAACCAGACAAGGTGTGAGATCTTAATCTGCCAGAACAATGAGATGAGGTGGACAGACCAGATGAAAGGAGGGAAATAACTGGGGAGGAGAAGACTTTCCAAAAGCGGGAGAATGGAAGGTGTATCACAGGACAGCCCTATAATGAGCAACAGTTGAAACGAACAAACCCTGATCAAACAACCAGATGAAGAACTGGGACAGGTGAGGAACAGAAGAAAGAGATGGTTAGAAGCCATGACAAATAGACCAAATAGGACTGAATGGAAAGATGGTACAAGAAACACATTGCAATGGGTTCAAAGTGAGAACCAGACAAGGTGTGAGATCTTAATTCGTCATTCTTATATTTATGCCCTTAACTTAACATTTTCCATATCCTTTAACATTCCTCTATGTTTCCTCTATCCAGATTGAGCCTTCCTTCCTGAGACATCAGCTGCCTGGGAAGGTTGTTTAGCCTTTTCTCCTACTTGCTTCCCTTCCATTTCCGTTCTGATCCAGATCAACTACTTTGTTGAGTTCATTCCCTGCTATGTTATGTGGCTTGTACTGCTTATGTCTTTAGCTGCTCGAAACTGCCATCCTTTGGAGGAGATTGTTCAGGCTGGTATGTGGATAACTTCCATTACATTTGTTGCACGTTATCATCATAGCCTAGCTGTGTCTTCCTCAGGCAGGTATCATCTTCTTCCTGTGGCGATTCTACAAGTCTATTCGCCTTTGACTGGGGTAAGTTGACATATTTTTTTTCTTTTTATTCATATTCAGTTGATATACAATGTATTTACAGATCCCACCTGGCGGCAGGTGTTGTCTGGTCAGATATGCTTAATATTATATTTGCACTAAATCCGTACACTTCTATAATGCTCACTGTTGTGATGGGGTGTTTCTGTAAGACCATCAGCCACTTCTCTGGTGGTGTGTGTGTGTGTGTATATATACATATATATATATATTTTTTATTATCACTGTTTCATATATAAAGAATCATCACTCATGTACTTCATGAGTAAAGCAGATGGAAATTTTTGCCCATCCCTACTGACCTGTGATTCTTTCAATCGGGGTCTTTCTGCTTTTGAAAATAGTGAGTTGCAGACACCCATTGAGGTTTCCTCCTGAGTGGGGTTTGTACAATAAACTAAATCAAACTTCATAGCTCATATGTACCCACTCAGTGAGAAGAGGGCTATCGTCATTATACTTAAGGATTATGCAATGACATAATATTCTGGATCCAAGCCGATTTCCCTGGACGTTTTTTGCTCAGGCAGACCACACTTGTTGATCTTGCAAACTTGTGCAAGGAACTTCCACTGGTTGTTTTGGCCCTGATGGACCACACTTGGCATAATCCAACATATCCCAAGGCACTTCTCCTGGATCTTTATTGCCCGGGCGGACTGCACTTGGCCTATTCATATACAATTTACATTCCTTTTGCTCTAGCCACATAACTTATATTCAATTATCAGGCACCTTATTATGACTAACTATTACTATGTTCCATGCTAAGGCTTGCTATATATGTGGAAGAATTATGCACTGTCTGTTGACAACGGGCTGATTCTGAATTACCTGACAATTTTTCATCAAACTACTTATTCAAGGTGCTTCCCCTGGATTTTTTTTTTTTATGGGGAGGATTGCTCTTGTTGCTCACAATATCCTAGACAAAGTGTTTCCACTGGATGCTTTGCCTTGTTGGACAGCAATTGACATGCTCCGATGTGCCTTCTTTTTCTTATTATGGCACACCTGTTCTTTCAAGGCAGTTGCTCTCTGCTTGATTGAATACTGGCGCACCTTCACCAGCCCCTCCACCTTTGCAGTGTGGGATTCTAGCTTTGGGTGAGAGGAGGTTGTACTGTTTCAGAAGTTAACATTTTCTTACACTGAAAATGTATTCCCGATGGGTACTTACCTACTCTCACCCACATCCTACCCTTGTTCCTCACAGATATGTCAGTGTTTCTAGTGTGTACTTGTCAATTATCAAAAGAGAAGATTGTGCTAGAATAATAGAGGGAGCTACCTGCACTAGTATAGATGGCACAGTATGTTTGGTAGAGGGTAGTCACATGATCAGTGTGTTCTGAAATGGCACAAAAATGAAGGGGTATAAAAGACTGGTGCACTGTTAGGGATAAAATGTTTAGCAATTCTTAGAGGAAAACCAAGGTTGAGATAGCTTTGAGTGAGAAGTAATAAATACCTATTGGAAATACATTCAATTTAAAAAACTATTAACATTTGTTTTTAACACCTTTGTACAGATGCAATGATGAAAAAACCAGCTAATATAACCTTCCACTACTGCCTAAGTTTGTTTTTCATACCTTTGTTGAAACATTACAAAAAACCAGCTGATATAACTTTCTGTTACCGTCTAAGTTTCTATTTTTGGTACCTTTTGATCCATTTATAGATGTACCACAACAAACAAAACCAAATGACATAAGTTTTTGCTCCAATCTAAATCATCATTTGTCTGATGTTACTTTTAAAAAGTAACATAAAACTTTTGATTTGAAATTTATTAGAAATACATATGACATTTGCCAGAGCATTGCTTTGCATTTATTTAATAGTGTATTTTGTCTTCTAGGCCATGGGCTGGGAAAATATGGCCTTTGTATTTTGGAATCATTATCTTGACCTTTGTGAGGTAAGACACTATTTTATATTTTCATTTAAAGCTTAGCAAATTGTTGGATAATAGGAAAATTATAGAATTCAGAATGATATACAGTAGCTCCATTTAATAACAGAACCATCAAACCCGATACAAAACCATACTGTTTAGTTCTCACTACTTTTTTATGATAGCAACACGTGGATTGATTTTATTTTATTTGTGTCAAATAGAGTTGATAGTCAGAGTTTTAATATTTATACATATATATATTCTGCACTTTCATTGTTTTATAAAATATAAATAACTAGAGGTCATGAATGAGAATGAAACAGAATAAACCCATCATTACAGTGTAATGTAGGGCTTCACCAATATTATGTTGCAAAACAAACTTTTTTATTTTGATATTGCTGCATAACACCAATGTACAATTAGGTGTACATCAGACAGAATTCATGTGTAAGATACTCTCAAAAGTATCTAATCTTTTCTACTGATTACTTTTTGTGTAGTAAACATCTGGGATTAAGTAAGATATGTCAAAGGTTATGTTACTCATGCTTTTAGCATAAGTTTCCCTTTTTTTTTATGAAAACAGGCCATTGAAGATGGAAATCAAGAAGGTTTAGATCATTCTGATTTTCAAGATACTGACATTCCGTATGAAATTCCTCTGCCTGAGAAGATGCATTTGTCAGTAAGTGACAATATCAATTCATGTTTTATTATTTTACCTTAGAATACACATAAGTTCATAAGAAACAACTTTAATTTATGTTGTATTATTTTATCTCAGAGTATTCTTTTCTCAGTAAGCATTAACATTAATTTGTGTTGTATTCCATAGGACTGAGTGTGGTACATTAAAATGATTTTGAATATGCAAGTTAGCAAGTCAGGTGACAACCACAGCTAATATAAATTTGTGTTCAAATTGCATGTATCAGAACTAAATTCTGACATTGATTAGCGACTAAATATTTGTCACTTTTTGACAGGGTAGATAACAACTATTTCCAGTGTAAAATATTCATATACTCAGAGTATAAAGATGTATTCAAATCAAAGATTCAGAATTTCTAAGATGGGAATATCCTTGCACAAAGAATTATGGATCAACTTGGGACACCATGATTGTCTAGAAAAAGACCTGCAACAAATCGTACCCCAGCCATTACAATCAAAGTGTAGTGTCTCATACCAGCTGAGAATCAACAAACACAAAGGTTCACATGCCCTAGGCAACAGTACACAACCTAATCAAGAAGAATCTTCATCTGTAAATGAGGCTAACAGGATATGAGTTCACTTAGATAAGGTTTCCAGTCAGTACCTTCCATTTAACTATCACATACCTGCCCTACCTTTGTATAACGATTTGTATGACATTGAAGCACAAAGAGCAACTTTAAAAAGACTAATATTTCAAGGCATACAATAATATACTAAGCTTGTAATATATTGATTAAGAGCATTATATTGGTAGGAGCAATCATGCTTCTTAAACACTAGAGACTGTACTAGTTCATTATGTTATGAAGTTATTAATAATGTAATTACTCTTGCAGTATTTGAAACATTATGTTTCACATTTTACTGGTACATATCAAAGTATTCTCCGTGATCATGTTTTTTCTTATACATTTTTTTTCCAAGATGAAAAGATTTAAGAGTTGTTTTGTTGTAGATGTAATTTGAATTTATAAAATTACAGGAATCGGAGCATGAAGAGGTAAAAGAATGGGTCTTAGCTGTGTCAATGGATCAACGTGTGGAGCAGGTCTTACCTCTTGACGAAAGAATGGTATACGAAGCCTCCCTTGTCTCTAGCAATGGAACACATTACCCACCCTGTGTTATTACTGGTATGTTTACTCCAAATATATTGAGCTATACTTACTAGAGTATGCAGTGATGTACACTAACAAAGTTAGTTAAATAAACAACAGTTACTGTTTCACTGTAGAATAAAAAATATAATAGGCAAATGTAATTAGGCTCTAAAGGTGGCATATAATCACTGAATCCTCAAAGATTGTAAACTCAGATTATAGATATATATATATATATAGTTTAAAACTTTAGAAAATATTGTCTTTAATTTCAAGTGACGTGAACACTTGTTTGAAAGTTTGGCTGACGTCGGTGTTTAAGTATCACTACTAAAACTGGACAGGTATTTTTTGTTTACAGCTCTGAATATATTTTGTTTGCCAGGACTTTTAAAAGAAGGTGGTTTATATATAAGTAGTTAACAACATTTTAAAATAGCTTTAGGTCTTGAACTTCCAAAGAATAGCCAAATAAAGCTTACGGAACAAACTATGTTAAATTTGACATTTTTTCTATAAAATTGTAAGAACTAGAAGCTGTTACAAACTGTAACTTGTCTATTGTATTTATAGAACGTTATTATTTAATAGAAGGTTTTATCAAGAGTATATTACATTTTAAGACTGTTAAACAGAAATGTTACAACTTGTACAATTAAATACAAAACTAAATTTTTTTACTGTTTTATGAATATATTACAACTTATAAATAAAGATAATGGGGATAAAGTTTTAAATTAGAACTTTGTGATGTAACCTGTACTACAACATTAGATTATGCTTAGGACCTGTAACAGTACTTCAAGCTTAGCTGTAATTCACCTTCCTGGTAAATCATAAAACAAGTTATATACATTGCCTAATTAAACAAATACAATCTAAAAAGTACTTAATTGACTCTTTGTATTTTAGGGATTATCTTGTTTACTTGACTTTAGTCTAGATCCATTAATTTAAATTCAGCTTAAAGGTAAGTTATAAATCAGGCTAAATACATTGCATTATTACTGTTAGTATTAGTATTACATAAACATCAAATAAAGTCTAGTTATTTGTCACTTATATGTGATGGTTGATCAGTCTCTAAAGCCATCCAAGCAGTGTACTATTACTAGTGGTAGGGTAAATAGGATTTTAAGTTGTATCTACAGAAATATTGAATACAAGTTTAAAGAGGTTATAATTTCATTCTATAGGTCATTGGTTAGGCCACATTTGGAGTATTGTGTTCAGTCTTGGGCTCCTTACCTTAAGAAGAACATTGAATTGTTGGAAAGGGTTCAGAGGAGGGTTACGAGAATGGTGCCTGGGATGGAGGGGTTGTCATATGAAGATATATTAGGTTCTATGAAATTGTTTTCCCTTGAAAAAAAGAATAGTTAGAGGGGATCTGATTGAGGTGTTTAAGATTGTAAAGGGAATTGATAGTGTTGATACATGTTTTCATACTTAACAATAAATGAGAATAGTAGGACTAGAAGACACAAATATATATTTTGACAGGGTAGGAGTCATCTTCAGCTAAGACAGTTTTATTTTTCTAACAGGGTGGTTGGCCTTCAGATGTTGTGGAGGCAGTAAATTTAAGTGAGTTTAATAGAAAGCTTGATAACTATATGTATGATAAGGGCTGGCTTTATGATTTTTTTAAAACTTGTAATAGTTTTAGTTTAGTTTAGAGGATGGGGCAGCCAAGATGGACCAATAGGTCTCTTGTCATCCCAAAACATTATTTTATGTTTTACAGTTAAATACAAAATACATTTTTAGACTATTCCAAGAATATGTTGCATACAATTTGTACAGTTAAATACAAAACTGCATTATTTAGAGATGAGATGAAGTAATATAGTAATAAAAAGTTACAACTAACTTCTTGGCATAAGGAGTGGTCATACAAATAATCAAATGCACTTGTAAGACTTGAATTATTTTGTTTATAAATTATCAAAAATTCTTATCATATTTAAGACCCCATAGTTATGTGAATAAAATACAAATTTAAGGGGAATTCTTTTTTCATACTTAATTCTGTATTTATATGCACATTACATTCTGCAGGTTACCCTGTTCTGAGGAATAAATTGGAATTCAAGAAACCAAATCGTGTAGCTAACAAAGATGATTGGAATAAGTTTTTGATGGCAGCAAAGGTGATTTTTGTTTCTCTAATCACATCAGATTTGGAGCAGATTGTCTTTAATGGTTGGAAATTTGTATAATGTTGAAAATATTAGTAAGGGAAGAGATTTAATTGGATAGTATTGTTATGAAAGTTTGGGTGTAATACTTTATTACAAATGTAATGTCTGTTAATATTTCACATTTTAAAATGTAGATTTCTTAATTATGACAGTATTTCAAGGCATTTTTTTAAAGATACTGATTTGCGAGACACAGAATTATGGTCTAATTTATCTTGACATTTCCATCATGATTTCAAACCTTTTTCCTCTTCAGTGAACTTTGAACTATTAACTGTGATGTTGCCATTAGAAAAAATGTTTGAAAAGTGTTATAAATGAAATGTTTAAAAAATGACTTTCCACTCTTTTGTAATAGTATGAAAATAACTCTCTTGTAAAATTTGGTGAACCTTTTTTGTAGTGAAAAAATCTATAAATAAATTATTAGTTCTTATTTTGTGATGTTTATTTATATATTTATACATGTGTGTGATCCTAACAATATTATTATTTTGTTCTTTTACATCTGTTATGACTTGTTATTGAAAGACTGTAATTTTCATTTTATACTGGTATGTACCCATGGTTCTGTTCTAATGCTTTTTGACTTTCATTTTGACATTGTAAATCTCTTGTTTTACATATCTATATATATATAAAGCTCAAAAATCGGTGTCTGTCTGTTTGTCCTTTATCTAACTACTCCTAGGTTGCTGTGGCAATCTCAACCAAACTTTGTGGGATGATAGTCTGGAACAGGGGACTTGTTTTTGGGGAGGTTCACAACCCTTCCACCCCCATTATTGATGTTATTGAACATTTATTATCTTTGACATAAGTTAATGTTAACTACATTCATATATAGTGCCACATTCTTATATCAAACAAAAAAGACTTTATTAAATTTTCTGTCCCCTGGTGGAACAGTGGTAAGTCTTTGGATTTACAGTGCTAAAATCAGGGTGTTTGATTCTTCTCAGGAAACACACAGATAGCTTGATGTGGCTTTGGTACAAGAAAATACACACACACACAAATTAAATTTTGTATAACACAACATACACACAGTGTGTGGGAGGGCACACAAACTTCTTATACATCTCAGAGAGTGTGCTTGCACTCTCTATGGAGGAATGCAATGACAAAAAATGGCCACCACTATTACAATAATACATAAACTCAGTTAAAGTGGATACGACAACAGCCACCATAACGCTGACATGAAGAGCTGTTTCTTGAGTTATACCTACTCCCTACTTTGACCTGTGATCTTACAACTTCATCCCATAAGACAATTCTGCAGCCAATTAATTAATAATGTGGTAGGACATTAAGAGGTGAGTGGTGAAAGTTGGTAACAGAAAGCACCCTTTACTACCACTACTTTGGCTGCTACCTCTTCATACAAAGTCACCCTCACCATCACACACTGTATACCATGTTTTAAATATATACATAGTGAGTTCTTAAAGCTTATACAAAACTTTTGGTGAGGTAATAATGAATACTGTAATAATATGTTATAAATTAATGGTGTGAAAGTTAGGATTCTTGCATTATTTATCATAGCATCCACCCACCCGCATTTTTTTAAGTTCATAACCCAGACAAAGGACAGGTACCTCAGCTTTTCATTAAATAAATGTCCTATATGTCAGTTTTGCTATAATTACATATTAAACATTTCTACTTTTCTTTATAAGCTTGAAAATTTTCAAATGATTTTTTTTCCCCATGGCAGATGTTTTACCCTAACTTTTTGTTTATTGATATTTCTGTAACTTTTAGATGTCTCATAGTGTGGAGTGTCAAGATGTGTTGAAGTTCATCACTCAGTGGTGTGGGGGAGCTTCAAACATGAGTTATTCTTTCCAGTGATTCCTACAAGCTTAGTGCAGCCAGTCAACTGAGATATCCGTCCATATCTAGTCAAGTTACATGTTTTGCACCAAAAATACTATCTATGATATTGTTAGTCACATTTTACTAGAAATATGAATGTTGATGTTTGTTCTTGATAGACGATTAAACTTATCAGAAAGATGGTTGTATGAGCTGTTTTCAAGTGTCACACAGTGAAAAGAATTAGTTAACTAAAATACTTTAGAACTATTTAAAATTTATATAAGTTTTCACCAATCTTCTCCTTATCCATTGTAATCATTAGAAAAGATTTGAATTATTCCAGTCTTACTTATGTTTTCAGCATGATTTTTCTTTGTTACTGCAAAGTAAACTTAAAGGTGTATAATTCATGGATTTATGCATAGAGTACAGAATGTATGAGTATGAGAAGTTGAGCTATTGAAATATCAGAAAAGTTTTAAGAAGAAAATGTACAATATTCACAGTAGATGTTTTAGAATCAAAAGAGTGCATGTTTTCACTGTGATGTAACTGTATCATTCTAAATGATGTACAATAAAACCACTATCTTGGTTAGTTGATTGCTCAAATAACTGTTATGAGACATCATGAATTTCAAAATTACATATGCATTGCTTATTTAAAGGAAGACCAAAAGTCATATATTTTCATAATAACATGATGATACAAACGTATAGTAATCATACTTAACATAATCACCTGTGTTTAAGGTGATGAGAAAGGTGAAATAAGTGGCATATATTTTCACACAAATGTAAATTTATAAACATATAACTTTTCCTCATATGTTGATAAACTTTGCAGATATCAGTGAAAGAGTTCATGGTTATTGATGACTTTTTTTATTTCTGAGAAAGCTCAATTACTATGATTTCTATACCTTTCTAAATACTTTTTTAAATTTTTTAAACATAATTCTCATGAACATTATAAATATTTGTATAGCTTTAAATAAAGCAAAGATTAAAGAACTTTCCAGATTTATTTTAGCTACTCATAACAAGTTCATGATCATAAAAAAAAAGCAAAACATTTGTTAATATGTCTTTATTTTCTTTTAAGCAGATGTGTTTTTTGATATTCTTCTGAAACCCAGCTTATTACTAAACATCATTTAACATTTTATAGATATCAGTATCTCATTTTGGTTTATCAGTATTTTTCAATGAGCATTTTTTATGCACTAAAAATTCATTATTGAAAGTCTGTATGATAACTGGTTAGGCCATTCTTTTATTGGTAAGGACAGAAAAGTATTAAGGCAGTGGCTATTGAATGCCGTATCAAAAAATCTGTTGTAGCATGTCAAAAATAAGTTGGTACATCAAAAATTTTTGGGTTTTTCTTGTTCAGTCATTAATTAGTTAAGGACCTCTATGCTTGACTGGAACAGTAAATGAAGTTGCTTTTATGTTTGAAACACCAAGCACACGAAAAAAATAATATTTCACCAAAAAAAATCGAAAGTGTGCTGGATAGGCAACTTTTAACTTATTAATGATCCTGATAAACAAAAATAAAATTAACAAGTTTTCTTGCAGCAGTGATTTGATAAGAGAAGGAATAGAAATAACATATTCAGATGTAACCTGAAATAATTATCTTAACTGTTTGTTTGGAATTAAACACAAAGCTACACAATGGGCTATCTGTGCTCTACCCGGTTTCTAGTGTTGTAAGTCCGCAGACATACCGCTGTGCCACTGGGGGGGCTATCTTAACTGAAAATGATTATATTTCTTTCCTGACATTTACATTCCACCAGCAAATGAGGTTTGTCGAGATTAGATAAAATGTTTATCAGTTAACATTTTGGTTCTGAGTCATGTAAAAAAATAAATAAATAATACATAAGTATTGATAGTTGCTAACAGATGCTTAGAAATCTTCCATACTTGTAATTAATTTTAATTTCATTGCTTTGGTGATTTGAGTGAAATATCTTCATTTCTTAGGAATGGAGAGCAATTAGAAAATATAATTTTGAGTTTATTGTTAAGTTGTTACTTGTTAGATTGCATAGTTCGTGTCAAAGAAAACGTTTGTACACATAAATGTACCTTGCCATTTTTCAATGCCTTAATAATTTGAAGTCAATGGTAATTAAATCCATGTTTTATAAGTATCAACATATAAAGACTAACCATAGAACTAAATAACATACTGCAAAAGTTGTAATGAAACCATAAGCATTTATAGGTGAGCAATGTCTACCATTACCCATTAATCATGTTCAGGTACAGTAGACAGAAGATTTAAACTATAGACCTACTAATCATAGGCAGGTCTATGAGGAGAGGGGTAGAAGGAAAAGCAGTTACTGCTCCTCCATTTTTTTTTACTGTAGGCTATAATATACACTGATATTCAAAATAAATCAGTCAGATATTTCTTTACTGCACACACAAAGTGATTTGGAACATAATACAACTATCTGTAAAAGAGTGCATAGTCTCCTTGATCAGGTACTGTTATAGAAATTAACAACTAAGATTGAATTAGCACAAGACCTTTACTATGTTCTGAGCTAGAACTCTAGAAAAACCTAACACTTTTGTATGATATGATATATACACTATCAGATAATAAGATATATGGCATGAACCACAATAATTGGCAGTTACAACCATATGTTTTGAAGTATGCTGTAACAGTTTGAAAACTACTTCATAGATTTTTAATGATTGTTAAAGCAGGTTGCGAAACAGCATGTATTATCAGGTAATTATGAATAGTTTGACAGTATCAAAACTCAATTAAGTGAAATTGCCTTGACCTCTTATCGTGACCATAATTTTTTGAGTATAAACTTAAAAATCTTAGTAAAGAAGAATTTAGCCATTAAAAATATCAGTAAAAATGACAAAATAGTTGTCATAAAACTGGACAAGGGAAGTAGCATAGTTATACTAAATAAAGTGGTATTTTTAAAGCATATTCTTTGAAAGATACAATCAAATTTGCTTAAGTTGAAATCATATCTTGTCAGAATTAGAGAAAATAAATTTAAAAAATATTTATTAAAGCATAAAAAATAATTGCTATTGACACAAGATGAATATTTTAGTATAAGACCATGATATTGTCTTCAGGAATACCTTATGGTGTTTCAGAAATGCATAGTTTTCTTTTAGTTGTAGTTTCCACTATATACTGTTACGTCTCCGTTTGTTAATTAACTTTCCGTAAATTCGTTCCGACGAAACTTTAGCGACACAAGTCCTTACTTAATAAAACTTTACGATACACTTGATTTCAACATTCGCGGTAAAACAAACGCTATAACGAACTTCAACAATACTCTCTGACTGCAGATTAATTACTCACTACCTACACACATTGTCACGTCACGCTGTGACCATCTTATATATACCAGGCCACCCCCAATCTAGCAAATGCGAGAGCACTCCCGAAGAAACAGGATAGTTCTAGAAAACGGGTGGCGTGATACTAGTCACGTGATCTCGCTGACGCAACAATACTTATAGTTATAACCTTGCTAGTTTTACTGAGTTTCTAGAACAATTCACACATAATGAATATACCATTAAAATATATTTTGTTTTTCAGTGAAATGCAAATTTTATAGTTTAACAATAGCGTTTATTGTGCAAAGTTTGATTTCAAGACCTTACAATTTGCTGTGGGTCTTGTGTATAAGAATGATAGCAGTGAAAATATCTTATGTTTTGAGATTGCCAACAAGGGCTTGTATTTTCTTTTCAACAATACCTTATATGACCAATTGTTGTTGTGGCAATGGGCTCATGATTGGCACAGTTACTTGCCAACTTGTTTATTTGCTATATTGAAAAACAAAAAGGTTTACAGAATACGTTTTGATGTTTCTAGCCAATACACTATTGGAGGCATGTTGGTGACACTTTTCACATCTTTAATAATTTTTAACTTGTTAGTCAATTCTAGAAATATCTTAACTTCCAAAGTGGTAGTATAAACTTTACAGTTGACTATCAACTGAACACCAGTCCTGAACTACATTTTCATAATAACAAATGCAGTTTACTCACAGTACCAGTTATATAAATCTGAGACCTTAGCTTATGAATGAGTACACGCTCTTTCATTCAGAGAGTATGCTCATCATCGGCCTTTGCTAAAATGTTAAACCAATTAAAATGGACAGCAACACCACATTCTTCTATGGCATGTTTAAGTACACGTGAGTTACTTAGGGTGGCATGTTCGTTAACAATGTTATTTTAGTAGAAGCGATACAGCATGACTTAAAAGCAAGAATTCGGTCCTTAAATAAAATAGAAAAAAACATCATAGGCGACAATTAGGTTTAAACACTTCAATTGTACCTGCGGATACCCCAATCTAATGACATTTTAAACTGATTTTAAAACTAAAAGCGAACTTTCTCATTGACAATCTGGGCCCTGAGATTAGGGTTATTGGAACAACGAGTAAACTGTTTTTAACATGAACATCAACTTGTTTTTAGATACATTAACACGTAGCAATAATGACCCAGCAAGTTTTAAAGACATTTTCTGGTTTGTGTTTTAATTTTCAGTGTTATCCCTGATTAATATTGTTACGTCTCTGTGTTCGTTTGTTAATTTTCCGTAGAAATTCTTTCCGAAAATCTTCAGCAATACAAGTCCTTCCTTAAATAAAACTAGTTTATTCTTTCTCAATACAACTTTGCAATACACTTAATTCCTACAGTCAGTTTAACTTCAACAAACGCTATAATTCACA